AAGATCACGAGATTTAAGTAAAAGACGTGAAAGTTCGAGAATGACGTGGCGTGATACTAGTCACGTGACCTCGATGTCGTAACAATATAAACAAAAGGTGAATGTAAATATACTTTAGAAGATATTTTGCACAACAGCATATTAAAAGTTTTTAAAAATGTCTAACGTTAAGTTGTAGAATAACATTATGTGCATGTTTATTGACAGTATTAAGTACGGTAAAGTTTAGCCCTAACTAAAGCAAAAAACGTACACAAGGTACAGTGTTAACTTATTTCTTTATCGAATATAGGCCGTATTTAATAAAGACAAGTGGACTTAGAGATTTCGGTGTCTGCGATTAAAATTCTTTTGTATTACTTTAGTAATTTTGTATTTAAAAGAAGTACTGTTGTAATAAAGATACTAATTTGACCGCAAAATGTGTTGCGGGTCTCTGCTAGAAGTACATAATATAAACATAATGATACTTGTTTATTCAACAATGTATAAAATACACATTAAAGACAAATATATTAAATTTTATGTAATGTCGTTTTACTTTTAATTATGATTTTTTTGTCTCTTTTTCGTTACGACGTTAATCCCAACTAGTTTGGGAGCGGCCGGTGTTTTTCTAAACCAAGACGATTTACACACGGGTGGCTGACCCAATCAACAACCATATGGGACGAGTTGACAGCCCTAACCACCAGGATATGCCAGACCCTCACTGTGTTTTGCTGTGACATGGCGACGCGGGCAATATTGCCTGAATGAGGAAATGACAACAGTATAATAAATGTGATTTTTAAAAAAATGTAAATGGAAGTTTAAATTAGTTAGTTTGTTTGTAAACAGAAAGCTATAGAAGGCTTATAATCCCTCAAGTTTACTATTGATCCACTAGGTGGCTGGGATTTTTTTATTGTAATTATTCTTTTCCATTTCATTCACAAGGAAGAAATATAAACCTGTCCGTTTAAATGTAATTTTGTGCGTTACGTTTATTTTAAAATTGTTATCCTTCGTTAACCTAAATATATAGAGTTCATAAAGACGCAAATAATATTCATGCCGTTTATTGACAACTGCGACCGATTTCCTTACGTAAAAGACAACTCACAAATTATTTGACGTCTATCCAAATGTGAGATCCAAGCTTTCACGAATAACTGTTACGAAGTTGAAGATCCTACTTATCAATCCAGTTTATACGGACAGGTAGTAATCAGTTGTAAGAGGTATTTATCAAATAGCTGTAATTTATACTTACCAATGCAGTTTCTAGGGCCAGCAGAGAAAGGAAGATAAGCGTAGGGATGACGCCCTGTTACATGCTCAGGTAGAAAACGATCCGGATCGTATATTTCTGGGTTTGGAAATACTTCTGGGTTTCTGTGCAGCATATAAATATTCAAAAAACAAGTAGTGCCTTGAGGTAAACAGTAGCCATCTATAAAAAAAAAACATATAAAACTAGATGTACTTCCGCAGAGTTCCCGAAAGTTTTTTTTTAAGAGTAAATAAAACCAAAATTAAGAGTAACAAATATTTTTATTTCTTATTTTGAAGTTCATATGTCATGTTGTGTTGTAGCCTACAGTTGTTGTTTGAAGTTAAGCACAAAGCTACACAATGGGCTATCTGTATTATGCCAACCACGGGTATCGAAACCTGGTTTTCTAGCGTTGTAAGTCTGCAGACATATCGCTGTACCACTTGGGGGGGCATTGTTTACAGAGTGCACAATTCTTCTCGTGATTCATGGCATGCGCACTTTTTACTGACGTCACGACAGTACAAACTACAACGTTAAGCGCCCCTTATGTGACGTCATTTTAGTGTCTACTGACTGAGTGACAGATAATACACTACTTTATAGTGGTGCGAGTGGTTAAAACAGGTTACCTCTCCAGGTGGCCTTCGACCCTCTTTCGGGAAAATAATGGTAGTTTTTCAAATTTAACAAAGCAAAAAATGTTGATGTGATGATACACATCTAAGCATTCTAGATAAAGAAACTTTGAAATAATTTCATCTACGTTCTTATTTAGCCAACATTTAATTATTTTTAGCCAAGTAAAAAAATAACGATAACAGTCAACAAACTTATTATTATGCTCAACTCCAAATGACTGATATTTGGTAAACATTCTTTATGTGTCAACATATTGTGATCACTTCTGCTGTCCAGCCATCAAGTGACTGTTGTTTAACAGCCAACACCTTACTTACTAATGTTGAACACCTGACACAACACATCGCATTATTGTTAATCAACCAGGCAACACTTATGTATGAGGTTTTGAGTCCGTTTTACTTCACTACACAATAACCTAAATTAATTTAGGTATGTGAATAATGATCTGGTATTTCGTCGACTTCATTATTCGAATGTATTAGGGCTATACTTCACAGATTATCTTTTCAATTTCACCTCTGGTGAAAAAGAAAAGAAATCTTTAATATCTATTTATAATCATGAAAAATTCAGTTCACATCTCATTATTGTTAAATAATAGACTCGTCATTATTGTTAATTAACGAACACTTCATTGCTAAAAACCAGGTTAAACCTCATTACGATTGATCAACCAGCATCTCATTACTGAAAACCAGGTAAAACCTCATTATGATTGGCCAAACAATATCTCATTGTTACTAACCGCTCAATGTATAACTGAGACTACTAATCCAACGCCTAATTATTGTGGCCCGGCATGGCCAGGTGGTTAGGGCGCTCGATTCGCAAACTGCGGGTCACACCAAACATGCTCGCCCTTTCAGCCGTGGGAGCG